TAATAGGCTTTTAGGACTTTTTTTAAAAAAACAGTTGTAACAATGGAAGGGGAGTGGCCAGTTCTCACAGATCAGACTTTCTAGTTTTTTTAGCTGTAGCAGTCAGAAGCTGTTTGGGTCCCAGAAGAGTTGGAGCTTCAGTAAATTGATTCCTAGCCGCTACATTCTCTGAAATCTCTCTTGGTGTTGTCTCCTCCTGCATTGGAGAATTGCATGTAAGAATCTGTGTCTGAAAGTACCTTCTTGCCAAGGGGTGCGTTTATGGGACGTTACTACATTGGAACAGTAATGGGTACTGTACCTATTATTCATTTAAGTTTTCCAATAGTTAAGTTATTCTAAATTCCTCTTTCTTTTGTTTGCATTTTAACTATAGTGTTTAAATAAATCGTGTTTTGCTTAACATTGTTTGACCAGTCGCATCACATCTGGAACATGCACTTCACATCTACCTTTAACATAAAAAAAAGTTAGGGTCCGGGCTACCATCTTAAAATATTTTGAGGGGGTCTGGTCTGGTCCATTACAATACAATGAGTGAGAAATATTTAATGGTTGGTAAATTAAATGTTCATACCAAACACTTGGTCAAGGTTTATAATTTTCTCGATTTTATTTTTGTGTTAGAATAAAGTACCTGAAGAGTAAAATTATTCAGTTTGTTTTAAATAATGGAAAATAAACATTGTACTTCAAGGTAACAATTTTGTTTTAAAAATCAAGTTCTTGTTTTCTTACAAAATTTAAAATAAACTTGCATTTAGCCCTTGTGACATTGCAAAGCATTTTTCAGACAATATATTACTTCTGATGAGCTACTTAATAGTAGTTAACCTTGGAGTGGAAGCAATGTACACACAGAAAAATCCAGTATTTATCAGTCAGGCCACTAATTAAACTGTGTGATGGTGTTTGAGGGTAAAGTGCTCGTTCAAGACAACTTGAGTTTTGTGTGAGTGGGCCACTGGGATCACCTTCGTACACCTAAACAGACAATTAATTAATTAATGTTACAATTTAATGGAAGACTCCACCTCAGTATCAAAAACTGAGCCACCAACCTGAAAATGCAATTAATTTAATAATAAATCTTCTGAGAAAAAGTGCAGCTTCTACTGAACCAAGGTGACAGCTGCATTAATTAATTCACATAAAACAGTTTACTCTTTACGATGCCATCACTTCTGTTCTTTTAAACAAAAAAACTTAAGACTATCCAGTAACCTACAAGAACCAGCTCATTCAGAGATAATAAGAACCGCCGATGCTGGAGTCAGAGATAACACAGTGTGGAGCTGGAGGAGCACAGAAGGCCAGGCAGGATCAGAGGAGCAGGAATGTTGGTGTTTCGGGTCAGGACCCTTCTTCAGATTTTCGTCAACTTTTCTGCTCCTCTGATGCTGCCTGGCCTTCTGTGCTCCTCCAGCTCCACACTAAGAACCAGCTCATGATGCTTTTACTACTCAGGGAATTATCTTGTTAATGACAGTTGAAATAAAAAACAAATTACATGCAATAATCAATGCAGCGTCAAGGTATATTTGTAAAAAAATCTTTTCAGACTGTTACATTACTGCATATAATGAGCATCACACAAGTTGCTTATGAGGTAGTTTTAGTTTGGTTGCTTCACAAGGTGAATATTCATTACAGCATGAACGTGTATACATTGACCAACCATGCAAAATTTAGTCCACAAAATTAGTCCCAAATCCCAGACAGAACACAAGAATCGCTGCTGTGGCCATTCAAAATATTCACACAAAGTAGAATTGTACTTCTATTTTGCATTGTATCTCAATAATGGAAGAACAAATTGAGAAAATGTTTGGTGCTAGACTTGGACATTTAAAGCAAAATTTTGTTTTGTTCTTTAGTAAATTATATCAGTTTAGTAAAGACAAAAATATTTTGCATTAGTAGTAGTCAAGTGGCAGCTGACTTCAAAAATTAATTGCAAGCAAAGGTATCTGGATAAAGCAGCATATCTCTAGTTGTAATACCTGCTGTAATTGGTGCTGTAAAGACTGAATCTGATCAGTTAACTCCAGAGCCTCCTTTTGGACCTCATCTCTGTTCTGAATAACCTGCTGCAGGTTATCTGTCAGCTGGCTAATAATATCATTCCTCTTCTGTACAGCCATCTCTAAGTCCTGATGAGACCAGAACAAAATTAGAATATTTAGTTCCAGTTTATTGCAAATACATATTTTATGCAGTAAATTTAAGACAGCAAGATATAGCAGTAGAAGTAGACCATTCAGCCCGTTGAGTCTGCTCCGCCATTCATTTTGGGCCAGACTGTTCAGGAGAGATGCAACGAAGCACTTCTACACACAAAAGCTGGTTGGTGTGTGGAACTCTTCCACAAACGGAAGCAGATGCTAGCTCAGTTGTTACTTTTAAATTTGAGATTGATAATGTTTTGTTAAGCACAGATGTATGGTGTAGGCCACAGATCAGCCATGATCTCATTGAATGGTGGAACAGGCTCAAGGGGCTAAAATGCCTATTCCTGTTCCGATGTAATGAGATCATGATTAATCTGATAATTCTCAACTCCACGTTCCTGACTTTTCCACATAACCTTCAATTCCCTGACTGATTAGCTAGGTCAATCTCAGCTTTGAATTGCTTAATGACCCAGTCTTGTCCTTGAATTACAGAAAGTATTCCACAGATTCACTATCCTCAGTAAAGAAATTCTTCTTCAACTCGATCGTAAATATGTGACCCCCTTCTTCTGAGATTATACCCACCGGTCTTCAACTCCCCCACAACAGCAATTCAGCACTCCCCATTTACACTACCAAGTCACCTAAGATTCTAGTATCTCATTCTTCTCATTTCCAAGTCTATACATACCTGGTAATATCAGCCTAATGAACCTAATCTGGACTGCCTCCAATGCGAGTATTTCTTTCCTTAGACAAGGATCCCAAAACTGCTCACACCATTCAAGCGGTGATCTGATTTGTATAGTTTTAGCAAAACCTTTTAAAGGCTAATATTCCATTTGCCTTCTCGATTACCTGTTAAACTTGGAAGCTAGCTTTTTGTGATTCATTGACAAAGACTTAAGAGTTCCTCTGCTCTGTGCCTTTCTGCAGTTTATCTCCATTCAAATAATTTTCATCTCTATTCTTTTCGCCAAAGCACGTAACCTCATATTCTATTGTTGTACTCTATCTACCAATATTTTGCCCACTCATTTAACTCACTAATTCCCTCTGCAGACTCCGTCATTCCCACCACTTGCTTTCCCATCTATTTTTGCATATTCCACAAAGTTGGCTATCGTAAATTTAGTTTCTCCAATACAA